AAAAATCCGGTAATCCTGTTCACCGACGTGAGCATGTTAACCGTCGATCCCGTATCAAATTCCAGAACCGACCGGTATATTAGTTCTCTTCCGGTAAAAGACGTGGCCGACGAGCAACAGAACGTGTATCTGACCAAGCATCCTGCTAGCGTTATGGTGTTTGGATTGGTGGCTTCCGATGGCAAAAAAAATGGACCCAGTGTTCATTCCAGAAGGCGACAAGGTCAACACGGAGGTCTACATCGGGATTTTAAGTAAGTATGTTCTTCCGTGGATCAAAGAACAGTACGGTCCGAAGCCAAATGTTGTATTTCAACAAGATGGGGCTCCGTGCCACACCTCGAACCGCACTCAGAAGTGGTTGCAGGAACATCTTCCGTTCTGGGCGAAGGATATGTGGCCGCCATCCAGCCTCGATCTTAATCCGCTGGATTACTCAATATGGCGCGTCATGAAGGCTAAGGCCTGTTCTAAACGCCACCCGAGTACAGCAAGCCTCAGACAAACATTGACCCGTACCTGGAGAGAAATGGATCCAGACTACATTATTAGAACCTGTCGTGCATTCCGAAAGCGTGTGGAGGCCGTAATTGCAGCAAGTGGAAACTCGATCGATGATTAACATAGTTTAAGACTATGATAAACATCCCCCTTTGAATAAATAAAAAAAAACTCGAAAACGAAATTTTTGAGATTTTTTTAAATTTTGACATTGCTCAATGGTGCACGCATTATCAGGCATACGCTATATTAAAATAATACTCATCAATAGTCAAGAAAAAGTTCTTTCGTGTGCTTCAAGTGTCACAAAAATCGACAAGATTATATTCTTGTTATTAAATATTATAAAAATACTTGCAAACAAAATCCTAAGCTGATGGGAAACTTCAGCTAAAATTTAAACTAAGGCAATGCAATAGAACTATCCAATCCATTCTGTGCATCGTTTATTTTCATCTTCATTAATTTAAGAGACACAGTCCATCCAGAGTTTCTGTTCTCTCAACGTGACTCATATTCACATTAGATTTATATATCGCAATGAACTGTGGAGCAAAACCATAAAATTGGTCTTGACTAGGCAAATCGTCGGATTTTGGGTCGTTTTCCGACCCAATGTCAGGTTCATGTCGAATAAATGTCGTGTTGGAGTCTCGTTCCCATAGCGAACTACTTGTACATGGTACACTTAGTATGGGTAAAATTGGCTCCCTAAGAAGATCGCTGTTGTGAAAAGAAGCGTATGCTGGGTATCTCGTCGGACAACTGTGGGTAAGACGGGCTGTGGATTGTTTGGCGGCGCAACTGTTCAATTATTAGGTTTTTGTTACATCCACTTAGAGATACCACACACTTAGAAAAAATAATGTAAATTTAACTGCTCTGAGAGTGACATATACGAGCGTCAATTTTAACATAAAATTGAGTCATAAAAGACGTGCAATTTTCAGCTCAATCAAACGTACTTTCGAACTTTTCAGTCTCGGAGCTCTTAATTTTACATGACATGTTTGTTTACGTCTCATCCTTTATGTCAAAAATAGATTCAGTCACGTGTAAGATAAGGTATTTCTAAGTGTGCATATAAACCGGTAATGCTGGTAGATCACCTTTTCCTGGTGCGTTACTTGTATTAAGATCTACCACCGACCCTAGTACTGACAACTTCAAACCAGGTGAACAGGATTTTTCAATAATCAAAAGAACACACATTTTAGTCCTAACGAATCTCTGATGTAGGTAGCTTGCAAAGCTAACCGAATATAATAAAGAAATAAGAAGATCAAAAAGAATGGACTGAAGGCGTACATGTGAAAACATTGAAAACACTCCTGTAGTTGCAAGACTGCACAAAATCCTTTCAAAAGATCATTCAAATGGTTAAGGAACTCTCAAAAGGGAAAACAAGTGCTTTACTTCCGATGGAACTAAAGCACTGGAAGTAATTATGCAAACACATTTCCCATGTTCAGTACTGATAAGCAAAAACAATTTACCAACCTTACAGGACAATACTGAACAAATCAAACCCAAGATAAATGCTCATGATGAATCTATCATAAATAGGTCCAACGCTGGTTTATAAACATCTACATATGATGGAAAAAGCATAGCTGATGAAATCTTTACTAGTTCTAAGGTAGAATGGGTCATAAATGCATTTGAACCATTCAAATCTCCTGGCAGAGATAGAATATTTCCTGCCTTTCTTCAAAAAAGTAATGAGATACTTACTTCATCTCTTACTAATATTTTTAAAGCAAGTCTTATGCTTGGATATATACCGTCATCACGGCGAAAAGTAAGCTTATCATACGTAATGCTTAAAATCATGGAAAAGCTTATAGATCAACACATAAAATCAAATATTTTTAAAAGTAATCCTTTGAGCAGCCATCAGTTTGCTTATCAATCGGGAAAATCAACTATAACAGCGTTACACACACTTGTTTCAAAAATAGAAAAATCGTTTGAAGCAAAAGAAATTTTGCTTGCAACATTTCTCGATATTGAGGGAGCGTTTGACAACGCATCACACTCTTGTATGGCAATGACAATGTCAAAGCTGGATAATTGAAGTGCTTTCAAAACGTGAAATTTCGGCTGAGCTCGGTAGCTAATCTATTTCAGTAAGAGCTGTTTAAGGATGCCCACAAGGGGGTGTTTTGTCTCCACTTCTGTGGTCATTAGTAGTAGACGATTTACCAACAAATCTAGAATCACAGGGTTTTAAAATAATTGGGTTTGCAGATGATATTGTAATAGTTGTTCGGGTAAAATATGATGATGTCATTACAAATAGGATGAACCAAGCCATAAATTACACCATTGCACGGTTCAAATCAGAAGGATTGAGCATAAATCCTAATAAAAAAACACATATTATCCGATTTACAAAAGAAGAAACATAAAAATAACTGGTCTTCACGTGGAAAGGACATCAACGAAACTTTCACCTGAAGTCAAATATCTTGGAGTTAATTGATTATAAACTTAACTGGAACCAACACTTAAACCAAATCATAGGTAAAGCAACAAACGCACTATAGATAAGTAAAAGAACCTTTGGAAATAAATGGGGACTGAGGCCAGCAATGATCCATTGGATATACACGGCTATAATACGACCCAGAATTACATAAGCCTCATTAGTGTATGGTGGCCAAAAACCAAGGAAAAGTGTGCAATAAACAAACTAGAAAAGTTGCAAAGACTGGCTACGGTATCTACAGCAGTTGCGATGCGTAGCACACCTACGAAAGCCTTAGATGCGATACTAAATCTTCTTTCACTACACCAATTTGTGCAATTACATGCTGAAAAGAGCGCACTAAGACTTTCGCGAACTAAAACCAACAATCAATACGAAACTAACGATTTTAAATTGGCTCACTACTTGACTAGCCTATTGGTCCCAAGCAAATCAATTAACGTATCCCATTCTAGTCAAAATTCTAGTACTACACAATGTTTGTTTTGATTCGCTATGAAAGTTTGACAGATAAAATGAGGGGTTAGTGGATTTCCTATATTTCGAGGGGTGAAAAGATTAGCTTGGGACCGAAGATAATACCAGAGCTGAGCCAAAAAGTTGAGCACGTTTCTTCGGGACCTACTAGTCTTAGAGTTACCTCTATGCTAAAACCTTGTTTGAAGGGAACATTAAGGGACACTTACAATTATTAAAACAAATTCGAATCAATCCATTAGTTACAGTCAATAATGAATGGATGGAGACAAAATTCAACTTTAGTCGACTGTTCAATGTGGTACAACCAGACCGCTCTCTCTGGAGTGCGGGAGGACCACAAATCCACCCAAGATCAGTTATATTCTTTACTGATGGATCAAAACAAAAATAAAGTTTGAGCTGGTGTGACAGGTCATGGTGTTAATATTTCAGTTTCTATGTGTGGATCGCCAACCGTTTTACAGGCTGAAATTCAAGACATACTGCCATTGTGTGTTTGAAGCGAAAATATAAACATGCAAATCTATGCATCTTTTCTGATAGCCAAGCAGCTTTCAATGCTTTAAAATCATGTGCATGTACTTCCAAATTAGTATGGGAATGCATTCAGTTACTTCAACAGTTGTCTGATAACAATACAGTAAATCTCTACTGGGTGGCAGGACACTGTGGAGTAGAAGGTTATGAAAAGGCTGATGAACTAGCCCGGCAAGGATCATCTAAACAATTTCTAGGACCAGAACCATTCTGTGGGGTCTCTCCACAGATGGAACTAAGCAACTGGAAAAAGATGATGATAGATTGTAATTGGAATAATACTATCACAGCCCGACAATCAAGAAAGTTTGTGATGCCAAATGCATCAAACACACAAAACCTCCTTAGCCACTCAAAGAAAGACCTATGTACTTACATAGGACTAATTACAGAGCACTGCCCAGCCAAATATCATCTAAGACTTGTTACGTTTTGTTTCTGTTCAGTTAAAAAGTTACGCATATTTAAGAAAGGCTAGTTATACGCGAAAATGTTTCCGTGTCTACCGCGAAATCAAATGCTGCATGGGTGCACTGCTTGAAAACGGGCAGCGCATAACAAATTAGCTTGCAAAGGAGACGCGCTGAATGCAGCCCTTCACGTCAGCTTCCGCTGAATGAGAACGAAGAACGAAAAGAAAGTTAGCAGCTCGCGTGTGCTTTGAGTGTGCGACGGGAAGGTAAAAAGGAAAAAAAAAAACCCCAAGCGGTGATATTAGTTTTCACGTCGACGGAACAACAACGACGGCTTAAGCTCCAATTGGTAGAGCCGTGCGGAGAATCGTAGCACGGGCATCGGACGCAGGGCGTGAATAATCAGATGCGCTGATTCGACTGGCCGAACGTTTCTTTACGATAGCGGAGGTTAGGTAAAGGATGACAGTGCGCTCACATGCAGACAAGAGCCAGCTAATTGTTATTCCTACCGTCCGTTTGCAGGCAGCTAATAGGCAAAAAGCACACGCATTCCCATAAAACAGAAGCTACACAACTTGAGAATCTGCAAACGAAGGAAAACGCAGGGAAAACGTTTAGGCTACCGTTTCTAATTCCATAGTAGCAGGCGGACCAAAGGTACACGGTAGAGGGTGAGTTAGAATAACATCCTCATGACATTACGTGCATAAAGCAGCTTTTTCCATACATCCCAGATCGAACGGATAGTACCCACGTCAGACGTACCAACACTCTGTTGGGTGCAGACGAAACGAATCGCTCCAGAACGAGTAACGACGGGAAAGGCCTTCGGAAGAGGTAGGTCAGGTTATTGGAGAAGATGATTCCGATCCTAACTCCAATTGGCCATAGGGCCTTTCTTTTACTCTTGTTTCATCTCTGCTAGTGGGCTGGATGACGTTTGGTCCTGCCAGTGGAGCGAATCGTAGTGACCCCGAGCACCTGCGAGTGCAGCTCAGACGGAGTTCCGTGCGGGCACTATTCGAATAGTCATCCAGTGATCGTTGCTGTCAGCAGAAGGGAAAGGAAGGAAACGAGTGCTTACGTGCAAGAACGCAGCGAACGCTTTCGTGCACACTGAGACGGAGCACCGCTGGTCGTGATCCACACGGAAGTGGGTGGTGCCACACCAAGGAGCCCGGTCAGTCGGTGGGCTCACAGGAGCAGGAAACGGAGGATGCGAGCGCCTACGGGCATTGGCAGGGTCAGCGCCAACGGGCACATTCGAGCCGAGGAACCGTACGCTTATGTGTAGTGACATATCGGTACTCAAGGAAGCCTTTCGAGTAGTACGCCACGACCAGGACACGGTGCGTTGTCGGTCGGGACACGACATCAAACTCAACCACACCAGAACAACAAAGCATGTGCACCCGTCAGCAGCAGCGAAGAAACATAAGATGGGCCCATCGTGAGTAAGACAGATAATTTTAAGTAGAAGAATAATAGAGAAAGAAGGCATAGTAGTATGGGTAGGAGTCAGCACATTAGAGGACTTTCTCGATAATAAAATCACCTAATATGATTCGCTGAATTCAGAACACATTTTGATTTGTGTGGGCTAGTCGTCCGAACTGAGGGTTTTCAATTCCCCCGAGGTTCAAAATTGTGTCAGACTAATTAAAAAAGTTGATGAAGATACTTGTCGGTTTTGTAACGAGGAAACAGAATACTCCGAACATTTATTGTGCAACTGTGCAGCACTTCTTAACAGAAGGGTAAAGTTCTGTGATAAGGGACTACTACAGCCCTTTGAAAGAACTTTAGTTACTTTGGTTACTTCTAATAGTAGTTTTTCACCCTAATAAGGTTAACAAAAAACCGGGGAATATACTACAATAGATCAAATAAATGGTCGCAGTGGTAATGTCACCGACAAACCGACAGGAATGATCATACAAATTACAAAGAAATTTCTGATCAAAGCACAAAACTGACATCTGTCGCGGAAAATATTTATCCTAGCCACGAACACGCGTACAAAATGTATGAGTTGGTTCGAGTCTAATCGATTTTGGGCAAATTATTTTTATCTAGTTAAAACATTTCTATGCTTTTGACAGATTGGATCGCTGCACATTTGAATCGTCCGTTATGGATTCTCGATCAAGAGTTAAGTTTAAGTTTCATGTCGGTTTGTTAGTGGTAATGTGGGGTATAAATAAAAACTAGTAAAAAAGACGTCTGCTTCGATCGGGTTCCGGAACTGAACAATCAGACCCTTTGCTTGTTTATTCTTATTTTCGTTTTCGAACATCGCAGTGCTCCGCGTGTGCTTACTCTATATCTATAAAAAATCATCCATTCGAATGCGCGTTAAAGTGTTGCTACTCAACTTTTAATACAATATACATCAAGTCCTTGTAACAAGACTCGAAGAAGAAATCACAATTCCTGTTGAATTGTGACGTTAATTTAAATTAAAATTAAAATTAAAAAGAAAAAAAAAAGAAGAAATGCTTTTGGATAAGCTTCACTTGGTAAATTGCTCATCGTTTATCTACTACAGTGCAAGGTAAAAGTGATTGTTGCTGATATTTCTTAATAACCAGGCGACAAGTTGCGTATTAAAAGGACTTGTGCCTAATCTTATTTTATAAAATGGTATGTACGCGTCTGTTATGCTTGCAGATAATTTCGCTGTTTATAATCTGTTGTGATTTTAAAGAGTTATGGTGGTGGGTTTTGCATTAGAAGAGTGCCATGTTCCCCATTTATGTGTTGACGAAGGACTACGTCTGGGATTTATATATGGGGGTACACTTTGTAAAATGGAACATGTAACGAAATTAGGGAAGATTTTAAATGTTAATAACTCAGCTGCCTCTGAACCAATTTCAATAATTTTATCAGAAATATTTCTACGCATCGATAAAAATGCCTCCAACTGTTGATTTTCAACAAGAAACTATTGAAAAAGTGGTTAATATCAAGCATTGTTAAATAGCGTCGAAATAAATAATAAATCCACCATTTACGCTTCCCCAACACAGTCGACAGAGAATCGTTTCTAGACGAAACATGTCGAGGTAACATTGCTGCTTCCCCAAAACTATCATCAGAGAGTCTTTAGTAGACGAAACAAGTCGAAGTGGCATTCGCCTCCGATCTTCGGGCGTGTGCGAATAGGGAGGATGCAATTGCGAAACATTTTGCATACCATCGTCATATTTAGAACCACACGCCCCCAACGACCACACTAAACGCTCTCCAGAGTTGTAATCTTGTAACCCAACTTGGAAGCAGGGGTGCAAGTGATTTTGATCGATTCTCTTCATCGACTTTCTGTTTCGTTAATAACTCGACGGAAAACACATTCATTGATACGTTTGTTGTTCTGGATGATAGAAGAGCATAGCAGAAATAGTGCGATAAAGAGAAAATCGATCAATAGAATTGACTTTCACCCATCTGCTACTAAGCCCCTTAATTCAGTCGTCGTCATTGCAATGAAAACTAGCATCGCACCGCTTTTGGATCTTGGGTTACATTTGCTGATTGCAAGTCTGCAGTTCAACATTTTCGATTGACCACAAAAAAAAACATGAAATTTCACCATTTTCTAGGGATGCCTATAAGTTAAATTATTCTATTAACGATTTTTTTTTCCTTGATTTGTTTTCCGTCGATCTTGTTTTCCGTGCTGATCACCAATGCTACCGAGGCCAGGGAGGCAGCTCCCACACCTGGACCCTACCACCTATCGACCCATCAACTCATGAACCGGGGACCAACGGTTTTACTTCCCTTCCGAAGGAAGGCGTGATCAGAGCTGCTATGCCTCAGAACATCCCGGCGGCGCCGACTGGGATTGAACCCAGGCCTGCTGGGGTGAAAGGCAATCACGCTTACCACTACACAACCGGCGCCGCTGACGATTAATCGTAAAGACTATTCCAGCTGTTCGATTAACCGCGTAACCGACATCCCTTCTTATTTCAACTCGTTTGGCTTAGCGCAGTAGAGAAAATAAATAAAAGCACTAATTTATCTGAACATGCATAGAGGGAACCATGGCTTGAAACAGGATCATAAATTCACCGAAAAAAGTGTTAAGCGTCTTTCTGCTACAGTAAACTGATGCAAAATTTGAAATTTCCGCTCCACAGTGCTCAAACGGTTCCAAATTGGGTCCTGATTAGCCTGCCAAAATTTGAACTCATTTAGTGAGAAACAGACTTGGCACAAACCATTTGAAGTTTATATGGGAATAACTATGGAGAAACCATAATTTCGGTTCATATCCATCTCAAAATTCACCAGTTCACTCTACTTTAGAAAATGATAGCTGAGCTAGTTGAACATTTTCTCAGCTACAACTTTGTTCATAACTACTTTTCGATCAAATGTAAGGAACAACAGTTATTAATGATTCAAGTCACTGATGTCTTTTGATTATGCTCAATCAACTGTTCAGCAGGCAACATTGGTGTTTATGACGCGTAGAATACAGGACAAAAATCATAACTACTATGTATGTCACACTGCAGAATACAATGTTGCCCACAAAACAGTTGCTTAATCTTGCCATAAGATTATCAATCTCTTAAACAATTAATACCTATTTAATTTGACGTTTGGCTGAAAAAGGATTTTGTGCAAAGTTGTAGGTGATAAAAATTCCAATAAGAATAGCAAAAGGTTTTGTTTTCCCATAGTAATTTCCATATAAATTTCAAATGGTTTGTGCCAAGTCAGTTTCTTATCAAATGAGTTTAAACTTTCGGAGGCTTATCAGGACCCGATTTGGAACCGTTTGAACACTGTGGAGCGAAAATTTCAAATTTTGCATCAGTCTACTGCTACAGGTTAAGATTGACCAACTTGTTGAGAGAAGGAGTTTCACGAGAAAAACTAAAAAAGGGAGGAGCTTCATATGGGTGGACACTGATATTCTGCGGCCTTCCCACCTGTCACAGACACCAGTTCAACCCCTCTCCAGCAGCTGATGGGCCAAGACTTTTGCGAGTTAACAAATAACCTTTATTATTATTATTAACGTGGGTAGATCACCTTTTCGTGGTACGTTACGGGATGCTTAAGATCTACCACCGATTCCTAGTCCTGACTACTTCAAACTAGGGGAACAGGATTTTTCAGTAATCAAAGGAACACATCTTAGTCCTTGTTACTTTTTATGCCTTGTTGATAGTGATAAGTCCTCGGGTTGCCTGGACCGAGGATGATCTTGAAACAAGGGAAAAAAGAGTTAGTTAGTATTCATCTATGTGATTCCTAATCTTCTATTCGTTGTTCCCTAGTTTGAAGTGGTTAAGACCAGGGTTCTGATGCATGGTCATTATCGGTGTCATTGTTTGTTTTTGTTGCTAAGGAATCCAGTTTTGATTGACAAAGGGACGTGCCTTTGGAGGGTGTTCCAACACTCCGAAGGGTATAAATAGCGAGACCTTTCAATTAGAATCGATTCCTTGCGATGAAGGCAAGAATGACAACTGTATGAAAACCGAATACTTTATCATTTCCCAATAGTGATGGAGTAATACGACATGCACTAAACTAAGGACACGAGATATACTACAATAGATCAAATTACTGGTAGCCGTAGTGTTATGTCCCGAACAGAGGAAAAAAAAAAAAAAAAAAGGAGAGAGAAATTTAATATTTCCTACATCACCATTGCGTACAACCCCATAGGGCTGTGCTTTGTAGTTTTTAAAAGAGCTCTGATGAGAATTCCATGGTAATCCCGATAACTCCAAAGATGATCTCTGCGGATAGTTCTAAAATAATTCTCGGGTGATTTCTGAGGATGCTTCCAAGAGAACTCTAAAGAGTTCTAAATAAATTCCGAGTAGAATTCCAATGGAATCGATTTTTGAGGGTTCAACCTCAAAGGAGCTCTGAGAAGAGTTTCAAGGGTATTCTTAGCTGCATTTTTGTTTTAAGAGTTCTGAGGAAATACCATGGGAATTCTGAGGAGAATACGAATTGAGCTTCTATAGAATTCGGGGGAGAAGTCTAAGATTATTAAGCAGAAATTTATGACATAT